TGATATGCCAGTGGATTTGGACGTCTGACAACAACAATATTTTATTTTACATTATACTTCATTGCCTATTTGATCATTTTCATTTCAATATATTATAATAATTATGATTCCAGTGCCTTGAACGGATTGCGATACACTTATTCATAATAATAATTAGTTATATTATTGTTACAATCTAGCGACGTATATTAAACTATATAAATTGGACAAGGAGAAAAAATGACATTGCACAGTCCAGGAACACCAATCGACTCGAATAACAATTAATCAATATGGAATATATTAATATGGAACTCGTAATATTAATTGTTTAGGTGCATATCCAAATATTCGAGACACATCTATAAATTGATGCCAAATTRGAGCGATTTCATTGGACCGATTATATTACTTCCCGGCTAATTGGTACAAGATTATATATAATATTAGTTCYTACATTGTGCTATTATGATTATTATTATGTAAATATATTGTTGGTACGTACCTAATAACGCGAAAACAATCTGAGGTATTTTATCACTTACTACACTGAACATAATTCTGTCAGATTATCGAGATTTGGAACGTACGATTTAAATGCACATGGTATACATTCGCACCGACTTCCCAAGACTAGTTGGTGATTARGTTTTATCTGAGTCTTGTGCGGCGGCTTCTTAAAATATTCAAAATAATTATTGTTTGCGTAATTTGGCATTATTGTTTTAGTGTGCCTAATATGCTTTCAAGGCGCAACCTTTATATTATATCCGTTTGAAAGATGAATGTTTTACAGTTTGTTCTATTGACATACGTTTTTAAAACATAAACAACTGTCCGTAATCTAATACCCATACACATAACTACATAAGTATACCTTTTATTACACGCTCGTCGTTCTTGATGCGAGCTTATGAACACTGTATATTATTATAATGACAGAGTGAATTATACACACAATATGTAAAATACTATTTATTATTACACTGTACACCTTTTATGAATGTAATATTTTCAAACTACCTTTTTATTATCGACCCGTAATGTGCATACGTTTTATATKATTATAATCTTGTTTTAAATAATGGTGCTCGCATAATATATCTATTGTCACGTCGACAATGAAACGTTACCGAAAATCTTACTACCAATTGGCCACGACACTCGTGTATGATAATAACACGTAAAGTACCTACCTGCGGTATCTACAGCGATTGTAAACGCACGCAGATTTTTTTAGATTGACTAAAATAGATGATGATTTGACAAGACTAGACGATTCATATATACGCATATTTATTATTTTCGTTGAATTCTGCGAGAGCTCGCGCAATAAATAATAATCAATACTTTCAAGATATTAAATACAAATATTAATAATGTTTTACTATAGCACCTATAATGTTGTTGAAAAGTCTACGGTCTTAGCCTGTTTTGCCGAGACATGACTTGTCGTATGATACCGGTTGCATRCATACTGTTGAATAATCATAATACATACACAACACACGTGTTAAATACTATATTTAGACTCCGCATCGGGCATACCCGACTTACCCACGGGTACCTCATGTCAA